AAATAACCTATGATAAGAACCAAGTTGGTAAATGATACGTTCATTGGTAAACCTCACGCAAATTGAGTGGATATGAGCAGCTAGCCAGCTACAAATTAGAGCACTGCTGACATAACTTTAGCTAGTATATACCAATATCTACATGATTTTTGTTTCATTGTTGCCATAATCGATGGTTTGTTTAAATCATTTTGAGCGTCTAAGAAATGTTTCACTAGAAATTGAACAAAGGGACAATCCTAAAAATTCTTAGAAAGGAAATTTCTTGACATAATTTGCTGACCTTACTGCTGTCCAGCTGTGATTGTCACAAGCAAGAGAAAATAATTTTGCCACAAGTTAATTTCACACCTCACTGAAGCCTGATCGGGGCGTTTTTGAGCTTGACGCAAGACTTTGCATTCAAAAATAAATACAATAGATTGTGTTGGAATATTAGAGGCGAACTCCATGTGTATTCAGATATTACTGTCTCTCATGACAAATTTTGTTTAACTGCTGATGGTTGCGAAACATCAAATACCAAACTGATGACAAATATTTCTTCTAAACTGTTCGTTTCTTCGATCTCCTTTCTCAATTTTGGTGTAGAAACACCAATCTTAACTCAAAAGAAATGTACTTCAATACGGTTCGAAGACAGCCTGTTTACAAACTCTGTGTTGTGACTTACATTTTCAGTTTACGTATGCAAATTTGGAATCATTGTTATAAATATCAATGGGACAATACAAGAAAACAATGAAAGCAAAAATAATGAGCAAACTGGCTACTTAAATTTGAGTGAAATAAGTTAATAAAGTTCTTTTTCTTCCACAGCCGAATGATACTAGCAAAGTTCCATCTGCATTTTTTCATAGGGTCCAATAAGAAGACAAAGAGAAGGAGGCAGTATAGTCAGAACAAATTAATTGAAAATGCAATTGTGAAAATCAAGCGATTCCTGAAAATAGAATAATTTAGTGGGTTATTCACTGTAAACAATAACTCTGCTAATTTTTCTTACTATAAGTAAAAATTTAGTTGATGCCGAAGTAGAGCGCGATATTCTAATTTTATTTTCAGAAACCACAACATTTTAATTCTAATTTGTAGTTTACGCCAATTTCAAGTAAACAGAAAGGCTTTTGCACCGTATAAATTAAATACTTTCATATCCTAGAAAGCTCTTTCATCTTATTTTTCAATCATTTTAGAGATCCTCACTATTACGTGCAGTCACCAAACGCAGTTGCAGCACTTAACGAGTTTAGATATGAACTTTTTTGGGGCCATTTCGATCATTCTATATAAGGCGCAATTTTCAATGGAAACGTTACTTATTTTGTCCATGCTCAATAAATCACTATTTCCGAGTCATCTTTTTATCATTTGTTCAGTTTCGTTCAGTTTTTATCGGTTGTTCAGATAAGGTTTTGCTGCCCCCACCTATCTCTCTTCAAAAAAAGGTTCACAAATGCCGCATTGGGTAAACGTTTTAAGTATTCGACATAGCTACATTTTACTTAGCCCTTTACACCCCAAAATTGGTTTCCAAGTTCTCCGCACTGTTCTCTATAGGTTTGCTAAGGTGCAAAAGAGAATTTGCTTAACAATCAAGAGCTTCTTAAGTTAGATATCTTTCTTTTTTTATTCTCATGACCCTTATGTTTGATTCAGGGGTGATACTGCTGGGAGAATTTAGATACTTATCACTCCTAGGGATGTTCCTCTCTATCTTGTTCCCTCATGGTATTCAGAGACAGACTTAATTTCATGAAAAACTAACAGCTTTGTATTTAAAAAATGTAATAATTTTGTATATCAATTTTTATAAATATTAATTTTCGTCTGCCGTACAATAACATATTCACCATTTCCACCAGTTATCTATATTTTTCTTGTGACTTCGCAATATTCGTTTTTGATTGTCCTTCAAATACATATTATTAAAATTCTGACGTTTCCCTCAAGTCACTGAGTTATCTGAATTCAACTAGGTATCATTGCAACTCTGAACAATTGAGTCCCTTTCTCTGTAAAGAGTACCAGCTGAATCAGGAAAAAAGCGGCTAAAACAAAACGTTGAAAAAACAGGTTTGCCATGAACCATTTTAAAACCTATCATATCCTCAACTACGTATGCGAAAAAAATTCTAAAAATTGATTGTTCTTAACAGCCCTTTTAATCGCTTAATTTTTTTGATGCTTCACCAGAACTGTCTGATCTGATTAGAAGCTGCTTGCTATCGGACAGTTTAGCAGCCAAATAAAATTAAGAGATAAAAGGTATTACTCGATAATATCAGTTAACATGTAGTAAAAAATCCCTTGTTGCTTGCCTATCTTTTGGTCAGCTCGAGAACAAAAGCGGTAAAAGTTCTTGATCTAAAGACTTCCGAAAGCCTCTTTGGCAAAATAACTTTAGGAAGATGGTAAAGTGCTCTTCCCTCAAATATTTCCATGGTATTTGCATAAAAGGAGCAACTCTCAAAGAAACTTGTGTTTTAAAATCCAACGAGCTCGTTTTTGGTAGAAGAAAAACAAACGCAGCTAAGGCAACTCTCACCGACAGCATCTTAAACTTTTTCTAAATTAGATGTCGAGGTACTAATTAGTGATTGCCCATGATCCTCTTGAACTGTGACAGTATTTGGGGATTCAACGTATTTGTACTTTCTAGCAAGGAAAACAAAAAGGAGGAAATTCGCGAACATCACGGCAGCGAGGAAAAAGAAATAGTTTTCTAGTTTGCCCGCGTTCAAATCCTGCGGGTACCAAGAGCCGTCACTAGCATTTTTCGCTATCGCTGCCAGAGCCCCAGCAACATAGAAGCCTATTCCAATGGTGGCCAGGTTAAGGCCCATGATCACTCCGCGAAGATAGAGAGGGGACTGGGAGTAAGCAAATGCCAGACCTAGAATGAGGAAAGAAGGCGAAAAGTTAATCTTTCCAAGAAATTAGTCTGGTTTAGTATAGCAGGTTATAACTTACTCTAAACAATAAGTTATTTTAAAGTGAATGATTTTCAAGTCATTATTCCCAGTTCTAGAGGATAACATCTACGATTATCTTTCAGTTGTGTAGGCGCTTTCTTTTCGGAGAGCATGAGGCAATGTTGTAAATCAGTTGTTGGCTAACTTTCCGTTGCTTAATTTACTGAAGCCAAAGTAGTGACTTCGCCTCCCTCCCTAAAAACCTGTAAAGGGGGTGAATCAAGGTTACAACTAGAAGCATCTCAAACAGTGTAACCCTTTCAGTCACATGATTGTTATCCAAGAGAACCCCACAAGAATTGCTTTGGTGCAAATTGCCTTCCCTCCCCCCCCTCCTTCTTGGAAATAGCACAATCCATATCACGCGATCGTACACCGCAAACGGTACATCGGCACGGATCGTTTTGCTTTTGTGGTGTCTGTAACGCATTGTTTACTGACAAGGTGCACTTTAGCGTTGGAAAAATGTCTCAGGCCTACTTGTTCCAGTTCATCTTCAGATGACATGTTAAAGCATTCGAAAACCAAAACAAAAAACCATCCTAACACGTTAAGGCTTTAATAATTATTAAATTTTAATTAAGTGAATTATCATTCCTTTATGACAACAACAGTGACAACTCCGTTGCTATTAGGTTATTTGAAAAATATCCAGACCACGCTGGACATCCTTTCATTCACTTTCACAGCTTACCTGGAATCGAAGTCAGTACTTCCCCAGTTCCCTGGAGCACGTATTGAGGGACTTGATAAAAGATGTTCATTTGTGAGGCATTTACTGGAGTGTCGAACGGATGCTGTTTAAAATAACCATGTGTGTCGATGTATTTTTTTCTTTCAATCTCCATAAACCCTGCCATGAGGACAGACCCCATGGCAAACAACATTCCGACACCCATTTTCTTCAGGGGGGTGAAGTCGATGCCGAAGTAACGGAGGGATGGGTAAATAATGCGATCCACAATTGGTATGAGGATTAATAGCATGGTGATCTCGAAGAGATACAGAGAGGCCGCCGGCATTGTAAAGTGCTCGGACAGTTTGAGTTTCATGAAAGAACCTTGAAGGAGGTAGCTTGTTTGGCCCTAGGAGGAAAAGCAAGAAAAGTTGTAGACGTCACTCAAGCTCCCTTATCAGAATACCGACAAGATCACCAAGGTTATTATAAGGGAAGGAAAGGTACCGTTCGTGGGTATGGCCTTCGCAGTGCCTTATCTTTGTTGTTGTCGTTGTTGTTGTTGTTGTTAGTATGACGGAGGTGAAAGCTTATCATATTTGTCAAAAGCCTCAAAGTTAGCATTATATATTATACAAACAGCGTACTATTGTCCATGCAGAAGGAGTTTAGTATCCCTTTGCTCTGAGGATTATACGCTAATAAATGTGTAGTGTTTTAAACAGCAATTAATGCGCATTCGAACCGCCGAAATAGCACAATTTCACTATTCTGCGCCTTAAAGGTACAAACATCGCCCATATCAGCCCCTTATCCCCACTAAAGGTGATGTAAGCACAACGTTCATGCAAACATCGCAAATATCTGGTGTCTTATGTGGAGGGGCGTAGCGAAGTAACATCTGGTTGAATAAGAAACCTTTTTACAAGTTGGCATCTGAGTCAATCTGCAGAGAATCATTACTTATATCACTAGAATAATCTGAATGAGACCCCTCAGTTTGTATCCATCTCTTAACGCTTACCTGTCCATAAATCGTCCAGTATAAGATAAATGTAAGGAATATTGGAACTATTTTCAGTACTGACTTGACATCTTCGACTCTTTGATCTTTGTAAGTTCCTCCCAGACTCTCTTTAACCCGGTCTAACCAGTGGGACCCAACTCGCGCGCTTCTCTGGGATTGAATCTTCTTTAATCCCTGCCATATTATCTTCAGTGTTTCAGATAGGTAACTTCCTTTATGCTCATGAGTAATGTAGTATTTTCTACCACTTACGAATAATATGACTGCCAAGAACATTGACAGAGCGGTTATGACGTAACCATAAAAGAACGACACCTCTTGCTGCACCGAAACGACTGCGGTGTAAGCTAAAAAAGATCCTAACTGAATGAACCAGTAAAACCAGTCGAAGAACCGCTGAACAATTATGGGCCCTTCATTCTCGATCTGATCTGCCCCCAAAGGGGATACATTAGCTTTGATTCCACCGGTTCCGACAGAAATGAGAAGTAACGCAATTCCTAAGAATGCTTCTTTACTTCCGGTGCTCATGCCAAATATGGCACCATAGTCGAATGTCGCAGCACCCAGAACAATGGCACCGACCACATAAAGCAAAGAGCTTCCATATATGGTGTTGTAACGCCCTAGAAAAGTATCTGCCACCCAGCCACCGATCACAGGTGAAAAAAATGAGGTGCCTTGGAGAAAAAATGAACTAAGTTAGATTTCAAGGGAAATTCTTGAGTCAATGTATAATTGTGTCAGAATCTGATAACTCATCGACATTGTAATAGTTCAATCAAATCATCTTGTTTTACATGTAGGTACATATAACTTCCAACGAATGACACAAAAGTACCAGGAACTAACATGAAACACCCTTTATTGGGTGGCTCACATCCCATTCTTGCATGCCTTTTTAATTAACAGCTTGCAGGAGAAGAAAAAACAATTTTTAGGACTAGCATTTTTATAGACTAGCATTATTTAAAAAGGTAAGTCATAACTGACCACTACATGGAAAAATGGTCAAACATCTTCCTTAACCATTTAACTCCCAAAAGTGATTAACATGTAACTTCCTCTATAATATCCACACATTTTCCAGCAAACGGGCAATCTGATCATCAGATATTGGGAGTATATATTAAAAAAAAACAAACAAAAATGGTCACATTTCACTGTATCTACACATTGAACTTGAACATCAAACTACAGTGAAGTCAATGCTCTCTGTTTTAGATCTTTCTTTTGTCTTGTTAATGCAACACCTGTTTAGGAAGATGATGTAATGACAAGTTAGAGAGAAGTTATTGGTAAATCACATAGGAGGTCAAATTTACAGGTTATACCCTTTTAGATGCTATCATTTACAAATGATTGAGGAATAACTTCTCCTGAGCTTGAAATTTTAACACACTGTTGATCAAACAGGCTAGCTCACGTTATGCTAAAAAAGCAATTAATTCCAGAAGATCTGGCCCCAGTTGTTTAAAAGGAAATTATAATGCTTCTTAAATGCAAATTTCTATCAGAACCCAAAGTTGCATTTCCTCAGGGCTCTGATCTGGCTATATTTGTGCAATTTCCACAGTGAAACTCATGGCTGGCTTTACAAAGAAACTGCTTGTCCTTAAAAGAATCCTGCATATCTTTGATTGTTCAACCACAAAGTTGATTTTTTAGGACATAAGGCAATCAAGATCCTTACTTTAACATGTAAAAAAATATAGGGGTAAGTTTCTAAAGAAACTGTGATGCTGCATCAGTGGAAGGAAATAGCAGGGTAATTAAGTGTTATCAACTAAGTTGATAACTTAAATCAACCACCTTAAAGAGTTTTAAAGCTGACATTTCAAGTGTTAGCCCTTCGTCATTTGCTCTGACAAGGGAATAACATTCAAATCATCAGCTTTGAAACTCTTAAAGGTGGCCAATTTAAGTTATAAACTCAGTTGATAATACTTAATTATTATGTAAAAAAAAAAAGTTTATTAGACAACAAAAGTCACAGAAATCTACCTTGAAATGCAAGACTGATACTGCTGGGCAGTGGAGCCTCAAGCTTCAAGTAGTCTCTGCAGTACAGCACAAGGTTTGCCACAATACCATAAAATGTAAGACGTTCACATAGCTCTGTAAATAAAATGCACACCACCAACAAGATCCTGGTTCTTCTTCCAATGTGCTCAGGATGAGAGTCTGCTAATGCATTACTTCTGCTAGCCCCACCAAAGATAGGCTCCAGCTCTGGATCTTTCTTATTTCCCATGGCTGGCTAGTAAAAAGAGGTTTAATTTAGTAAGATAATTAAGATAAGATTAATGATTAAATTAGAGGTAAAGATCACACAGTTGCGAGAGCTTCGTCTGTAGACCACACCCTATAACTCTGCAAAATTTGACTGGTTTTCGCTCTTTTCATGAAATGGTCTGGCCTTATGAATTAATTATTTGAGCAATCGAGAGCACTTCTGATGGTTAATACCAGCACAATAATCGATGCAGGATTTGGGAGAACATGTCAGAATAGTTTGTACATCATGAGCTGGAAGCAAGTGATTTACACATTTTTCTCATACCCTCCCAACACCAAGACTGGGTTATTATTATAGGCCAATAGAAAGTGCACTATATAGCTTTTATAAAATAAACTTCAATTTTCTATGGATTTACTAGTGCAATAAATGACAGGTTTTTGACCAATCAGGGTGCTTATAGTTTCTCAGTTATTTCATAACAGTGGTTTAAGTCACACTACATTTATTTAGCAAATGATGCTTCAATAAAATAATAATAAATAAAAATGAAACAATTGCAAGAAGACAACCACTTCTCTCTGTTCCAATGAGGTAACTTTGTAAATATTTTCTTTTTTTTTTTTTGGGAAGACCCCTCCCTCTTACTGTGAGAAGTCATATAAGGATTACTGTTTTTTTCATTACCTAAAAAGATATCTCCATGGAATCTGGATGTTGTTAGTTTCTTTGAAGAAGGAAAAATCAAAACTTTCCCAACTAAACCTTACGGCAGGAAGGAAGGAGGGAGGGGGAGCCAGGTAAGTAATTGCAGTGAGGTCCAATTTAACTTCCAAAACCTTGCATACTGTTGCTCGATTCCTTTATTTACGCCATACTATTTCTATTTCATGTAATTCTGAGGGTAATCCTACGTTAGGCGTTTTTTTCCCAGGTTACGGTCGACAAGTTATGAATTTGCACACATCTTATTCCATATCAACATGTAACTTTGAGGAAAACAGTATCTTTTATTATCCTTCATTACTAAGATAAACTCGAAGTGCTCTCAAATCATCTTCTAAAGAGAAATCTTGATGAATTAATGCATAGCCAAAAAATTAGTCACTCATGATCAGTCGACCTTTTGTTATTTCAGCAACTACTAGGACACAAAACTCACCAAAGATATGCGTTCCTCCAGACAAGAAATTGTCACTCGTGCGGTAAATATATAGCTTAAGGTCAACTTCGTAGCTACGTACTAGACTTTTGATCTTTAGACGAAAGCAAATCGTATTACGCAAAGGTACACTTCGAATAATGACAATGTCACGGTAGTTGCGTGACCAGAATGTCACGGGACTTTTGTCTTAAATGTCACAAGACATCACGTGAACACCTTACGTCACCAAACTACAGGGTTGATAAGCGGCAAATATGGAGAATTTTCGATGGTATCAGTTTGTAAAAAATAGATGATGAGTCAACGGGCAAGAGGATTACTCGAAAGGGTTATCATAATCTACGATCGGTGAGGAGCGGGAAAGCAAGGAGAATTTTCACTCTCCTTACTGTCTGCCATACAATTCTTGTAATCTAGCTATTGGTTAAACTTATTATCTTTCATTATTCCCATCACTCGTCTTTTAGATTATAATTGTACTGATACTGAGAGGAGAAATCAATTCAACTTTTACAAGATATTACCTATGTGCGTGACGTGTTTCTCGCGTCAGTAAAATCAATGTTCCCAATCATCATAAGTTCTGGTGTGGAAGTATTCCAATCACGATCGCTTTCTGAAGTAGTTACAAATGTTAAGTGATCTGTAAGCCAGGAAGGAACTGATTGAGGTGAGTTTATATTCTTTTTTGTTTGGTCATGGCTAATGTTTCATTTAGTTATTGAAGAGTAAAAGGAGACTCAGCTCAGAGCAAAGTCCTGGAACCCCTTGGTCTACCGTATATTCCTATCTAATCCACGACTGCTGGTCATATTAATCTTAAATAAACTTTTAATAAATTTCTTTAAAAACTAGGTGGCAGATTGCATGAAAGGAGTAGAATGCTTAAGTTCTCTCATTTCTAAAGCTAACAAACACAAAATTAAAATTTTTGCTATCAGAAATTTTGAGTCAACCTACAGTAACATGCAAGCTTAATAACTAAAATTGTCCAGAAACTGATATAATTAACAATTATTCACCAAAATGGAGGTGAATAGAGGTGAATAAGGTGAATATCCACAATGTTCACCAACACTCAGATGAGTTATTTTTTTATTATATGCCACAGATACCAAAAAATAACTAAAATTCTTTCAATTTACAGGAAAATGGTTGGAAATTAAACTTTTGATGTGTGATTTTGTTTCATCAGCTGCCTAGCACTTGCTATTCACTTCCACATTAACCAATCAGCACACACTAGAAGCACTATTTTCACTTGTGGTATGTAGTAATATAAATTGTAGTATTCTTAAATGGTAAAAACTTGCCAAAGAGTTGATTGATTTTTCAGCTTTTTTGTCTCCTTTTTTTTTTAACATTTATTTTTTTTCCACCACTGGCTTCCACAGATTTTGGATCTGCTTTTTACAAGACTAATGCAGGTTGCTCTCTCCTGGCACTAGAATCCAAACTCCTTGAACTTTTGTAATTGATATATGGTCATAACGTACTGGAAAAAATAGAAATTCCTATTTTTGTTAGTTCCTAACAAATGTAGTTTAATAGCCAGAAAATTTTTACATACTTTTAGATGATTCACACTTGACCTATATTCTTAAAAACTACCCACACTACATCAGTAGTGCAACCTCTTCACTTTGATTGCTGGCATTGTCTCATGACCATGCACTAAGGACTTCCTACAGGCAGGTGCACACAATAGTTTTTGCACATTTAGTAGCAAATTGACACATGTCACTCAGCCATGCACAGATGAAACACTAACAGTCAGTTCATGGGCATCCTGGTACTCCTTTACTTTGTAAGGATGACTCTTTGTATTTGTAGGAGGATGCAATGAACAGAAACAACAAGAAATTAAGTGTCATCAAACCAGCCATCATGAAGAAGAAGTACTCCATATGACCCTGATTGGGATCCTTCTCAGGGTACCAATCACTGTTGACAACAGCAACTAGAAAGTTTGCTATATAGCTTCCTATGCCAGAGGCTGATAGAAAAAGGGCCATGATCACTCCATTAAGGTTTTTAGGAGCCTGTGAATATGCAAATTCCAGACCTGCAGATACAAAGAGACAGTAGAAAAATATATCACTGTGGATTTCTACAAATTCCCCTCATGGAAAAACATGGAAATTTCTCATGTAGAGAAGGCTGGGGACATAAGACACAGGTGAGACAATTTTTTCTGAAGGTTCCTGAAGTGACTGTGAGTAACCATGTCTTACTCCTTCCATTACCCATCATATCTCCTGAAACATTTCATAAAATGGTTAATTCATAATGAAGAGAAAGAGACTAGGTTAACATTTTTCAAAGGCTTAGGGCAGCAGTGTCAAAAAACCAAAAGCAAAACGAAACGAAATCCCAGTGATCAATCAGAACAAAGGTCTACAAATTATCATTTGCCAGTAAGAACACTCAAAGTGACAACAAGCAAACTGCTTGAAGCATGGGTAAATATGAATGGTTAAGTTGTGATTGTTTTTATAGTTTTGCATCTGATTGTTGAGAGGATGACACAGTATGCCTGTACCAATCAGACAGAGCAAAGTTAAGTAAAACTGAAGCCATCCCAGATTACTTTCAACATCCAGTGGACAATTGCTTAAAAAAACATCAATGAAATTCACTTACCAGTAATAGTTGCAAACACTTCACCAGATCCAACCAATAAGTACTGTGGTGCTTGCCAGAAAATACTGAAACATGAGGCACTGTGACTCTCATTAAAAACCGTCTGTGTGCATATGTTCCCGTGTTGCCACACTGTCCGTCGTTTTATTTCAATCAACCCAGCTACAAGCATAGAAGCTGCTGATAACACAAACCCTACACCAATGCGCCGCAAGGATGTGAACTTGATCCCGCTGCGCTCAATACGAGGATAAACTACATGGTCCACAAGGGGAACAAGCACCAGAATAAGAACTATATCAAACAATGACAAAGATGCTGCTGGCACGGAAAAGCCATCAAAATTTAGCTTCATGTATGTACCTTGAATGAGAAATGACGTGGACATCTGAAAGAAGAGAAAAGAAAAAGTTTCAAGCTAATATTGCCTTAAGTTTTAATTTCTTCTAACAATTTACATCTTGGTTGTGATCCTCTTCTCTTCTTCTAAACACATATATATATCATGTATAACTGTTATGATTTCATGATGGCAAAGCCTCACCTGAGAGAAAACTGAAAAATAAAAGATGAAAGTAATGAAAACAGGAAGTAGTCTTAACACAGCCTTGACATCTTCAACCTGATCATCACCAAACTTTCCTCCAAATCTGCTCTTTGCTCCATCCATCCAGCCACCAGTGTTTTGTTTCCGATTTTTAATGGCATTGTGAATTATTTTTGCTGTTTCAGTTAGTTGGCTACCTCCTGGTGGCTTGACCAAGTACCTATTACGACAGGTGAGAAATACAATGATTCCAAGGAACATAAAACCCACTAGGATGGCATAACCAGAGAAAATGTCTTTTTGCTGGACAGCAACCACCACAGTAAAAGCTACGAGGGCTCCAATGTTAATGAACCAATAAAAATAGTTGAAAAAGGTCTGAACAGCTCTTGGACCATCCTGTTTCAACTGATCTGCTCCAAAGGGTGACACAGTGGCTTTGATTCCTCCTGCACTAAATGCTATCAACACAAGGGCCAGGATAAAGAACACTACTCTTCCTGATGCATTAAATATGCTCTTCAACAAATTATCAGAAGCTGATACTATAGCTAGAAGCACAACTCCCACAAAATACAACAAAGAGCTTCCATATATGGTGTTATACTGACCAAGGTAAGAATCGGCTAACCACCCACCAAGTAAAGGGGTGAGAAAACATGTTCCTATGGGAAAAAAAAAAGAAGGAAAAAATAAATTAAATTTTATAAGAGTTGAACAGCTCAGCTCATCAACAATCTGGTTTTTCAAACCTTTACACTACCTTTGCATCAGTTTGCAAGCTGAGCCATGCTGTTTTCTATACATTTCAGATGGTATGTGCATGGAGAATATGTTTAATAATCAAAAGTTTCTACACTTTGCAATCATTACCTTTATTCTCATTAATTTACAACTTGCCTCATGCAAGCAGAAACAATAAAGGGGAACAAAAAAGTACTCCATATATTTGAAACATTTCTACATTTGCCTTAACAAGTGTATACAGCTGTTTCAAGATTTAGGTTGTCCAAAAAAAGGTCAAATTAAAGTGCATGTGACCATCTTGAAAAGTAATGTGGGCATCCTGTAATCAATTAATTTTAATATGTCAAATGAATGTCTACATTCATCAACCTTGCTATGCCTCATCCTAAAAGTGTTATGTTCTCAGATTTCCCAGAAATCCTGCAAGGTCAAGGACTTGAAAACTACCAAAATTTGCATTCGAGGTTGTTGTACTTACTTGTACACTTTTTCTAAACAGCCTTTCTTGAAACAGCTGTAGTCAATACTTAAATATACAGTATAGTTTCGTTCTTTAATGAGCATGATCCTACAAGTGATTTACATGAAACTTCTCCTTATAATATCCTCACATTATCCAGCAAAGAGGTAATAAGTATACCTGTTATCTTGATCTAACACCAAATTCCTCTTACTAATTTACAAGGAAACTTATAGCAGCTAGAGGGGAGAATTAACAAGAATTAAAACATAAGAATGTTAGGATAACACTACAAACAAACCTGCGAACAAAAGAGTGATTGTTGATGGCCAAGGTGACTGTAGCTTTAACACATTCTTGGAAAATAAAACTAGATTTGCAGCTGCTCCAAAGAAGGTCATGCGCTCACATAACTCTGTAACAAGAATACACACTGCATTCAGGACCCTTTGTTGTCGACTCAAGGCACTATTGGAGTCCGATGAATTGGTAGCCACACTTGTCTCCCCACCAGGTGTGGAATGTGGTTTATGTAGTTCCTTTGGAATTAAGGGAGAATTTTCATTTCCATTTGTAGTTGCTGACATGCTGCAGGATTTCTAAGCAAATTAAAAACAAATTGATTAACGGAATTAATTTGTAATTGCTGACGTGCTGCAGGATTTCTAAGCAAATTAAAAGCAAGCCGTGAGAATAGGGTGGAATCTTACATTCATACGGCACCCCCCACCTTCATTCT